TTCTTTGAAAATCGCTAGGTATAGGTCAATCGGAATTATCATCTGTATTAACACATGCAACAAGCTTTAGAAATAACGCCTTGAAAATATTGTATATCCATCTGATGTAATAGTGCATGTGACATCTAACTGTATGAGTTGCTATGTATATTGTAGACTCTATAGGTGTATAAAATACAATATATGCCTTCTTCTTCTGTATTATCTGAGTATATCATCCGAGTACATTATCTGTGTATATCATCAGAGTACATAACCCGACTATATCATCCGAGTACATCATCTGACTTTATTATCTGACTGTGTCTTTTATCGAGCAAACGTTTTGAGTTTGAACCAAATATGTTTGTGCAAAAATAGAATGTCGATATAACGCAGTCACCAATACGTTGCTTGGTGGGACCACATCACGTACCATGACGGTAGTGGTTCCATAGAACACATTAACCTAGTGATCAAGGCACTTCTGTATTCTGACCACTCACACTCCACCATCTGTTACTGGAAAAACACGACGTCTAATGGACTGAGATAAAGGCCATGCAGTGCCCCAACAGTGACATGTGCTGTGTCTGCAGTGACGAAAACATCAGTGTTACACAGTGATTAAAACATCACTTCCTTCCCTGAGTTCAATGAAGCAGCGCTTCCTAGGTGAAATCCCATTAGCTGTCTTGGGCTGGGTGTACACGGAGCAGATGGCTCTATTCATGAACCTAACTATCCATAGTGAGTGAGTGAGTTTAGTTTTACGCCGCTCTCAGCAATATTCCAGCTATATGGCAGCGGTCTGTAAATAATCGACTCTGGACCAGACAATCTAGTGATGAACAGCATGAGCATCGATCTACACAACTAACTGGCCATAATCACACAGATCCTCATTTTGCTGAATTTATTTATTTTAATTTGTAGAATAATAATAACAATATGAGTTTAGTTCAAGATAGACGGGGCAGTGGGGTAGCCTGGTGGTTAAAGCGTTCGCGCGTCACGCCGAAGAACGGGTTCGATTCCCCACATTATACCATTGATGGTGTCGACTTTGATATTGTTTGAATATTGGTAAACACGGCGTAAAAATATACCCATTCAGTATAAACCCATTTCATATTGTAATAGTGTGGTATGCCCCACAATTCAGAGAAATCATCAAGTCGATGAACGAAATTGACAAGTTCTCACATGAAATATGTGTTTGTGTCCTGCTCCCTCGTGCCAGGTATCATTAGGCTGTAATACTGATCGGCTAGAAGGGCCGTGATATCGACACATATTGAAATATACAACATTAATGTTTTCACACAGGATATCAATCAATCAACCTGGGTGATATGAAGCACTATGCCAGTTAACTGTCACGACAATAGGGGTAATTTTCAACAGCCAAGCGGAAACATGGAAAGGTATTGTTGTTTGACAAACAGACCCCTTCAGTAATTGCGGCCGTGAACCGGAGATGCATGGGGAAAAAACACACCGGGTAGAAGTGATTCTCATTGACGTGAAAATACATTAAATAAGGTATAATTATCAGACCGATATGTTTCAATATTTTCCTCATTTACACACCTGAATGTACATCTTTCTTGCATCTAAAAATGTTCTGGTTACTTCTGGTTTCGTAAATTGAATCCATGCTGAATTATTTGAAAGGGTCATTAAAAAAGGGAACGTGTCGTCGAGTCACGGAAGTGAGATGAAAGGCTAAGTTAGTGTGGGGACGTTTGTTGTTCTAGCGAGAGGTTATCAGGTGCATTTTCTAAACGACACCTGAATACCGGCCGTTGGGCAAATCGATACCAGCAACAGTAATCTGTTAATACCACCGAGTAGTCTGAGCCATGCCCGCTTAACCATGCACAGAACAGATGTTAGTGCTGATGTAATTGCACGATCTCAAGCAGACTTTGTACAGTCCCTGTTTCCAAAGTTTCCAAAAATTTGGCACTGCTAGTGTTATACCAAGAAATATAAAGCATCTGCGCAAAATAAAATAGCCAGTGAGTGAGCAAGTTTAGTTTTTCGCCGCTTTTAGCAATATTTCAGCAATCACGGCGGGGACACCAGAAATGGGCTTCACACATTGTAACCATTTGAGGAATCGAATCCGGGCCTTCGGCGTGACGAGCGAACGCTTTAACCACTAGGCTACCCCACCGCCCCGAAAATTTAATGAAAGGATGACTATAAATCAATAAAGACACCAGGTGTTCGAGAAAAGGATAACATGTCCTGCCCTAACGGTTGTGTCGGTTTTCTTTTTGTGCGACAGTGAGAGACACAGAGGTTTTTGTGACCGGTGCTTGTGTGACCCTGACTCCGTGGGTAGTGTGTGTTTTAGTGGTGTGAGTTAATGGTGTGTCTTCTGACATAGATTTCATCATGTTTGATGAGCTATTGTTCTGTGATCGAATGACCATATAGTCTTTTGAGGTAGTCTTACCTCTCATTTATACGTTGTAAACATGGTGCTAAGGCACACGATTCCAAATGAGAATAAAATATATGTAATCTACACTTACATTACCTCAAAGTTTGAAACAAAGTGTTTTGATCTCCATTTTACCATGACCATAGAACGCTTTGAAAACAGTGGTCTTCACTTGGCAGTTATCTGAGAACATGCCATAAAGAGGCCACGGGTAGTAGGAAGCGAAAAACATTGTACACAAGTTCATTACCTTTGTTCTTCACCAGTTAAAATCATTCTTATACAGAGCAAAAGGAATATATGTTAAATTTCATCGTAAAGTGTTGAATATTTGCCCTGCTTTGATTTAACCTAACTTGGAAATCAAACTTACCTCTTCCATGGTAGAGACAACAGGTTATTAAAATAGTGGAAAAAACGCTAATTCCTTTCTCAATAACTAATGAAATCATAGTATTATGTGATTTTATACATGAAGTCGTATTCTAGTTGGTCTGAAATAACTCCCACGTAACGATAATACTGCGTCTATAACGAACGCGACTATAACGAACCAACTGATATAACAAACTGTTTTGGGTTGCGGCCACATGTTGTATATATTAGTCGAAGTGCTTACACGCGAACTATAAGTAGTGGTCCCTTTGAGTTCGTTATAACCGTAGTTGACTGCTCATGTGTGTAACAGAATGACTTTCCCTTCAAGCGATGTTCGGCTGAGTTAATTCTTCTTCATTTACACATCACTATGGCTGACGAAATAGTTGTCAGTGCTATCAGGGATACTCTACAACATTTATATAGTCTCCCTGGTGCTATTTACAAATTGCGTGAACATAGAGAACACTCCCGAGATGTATTTACGTTTACCATTACCGTTATCATTTACTGGTTGAAATTAGGTGCTCGGTAAAAAAGTCCTAAATTTGCCAAGGACCTTTTTCCTATAATCGGAAATTAAACTGCTGTCACAACCTCATTGCCAACGGAAACACACTTAAGTATAACTGTATTCGATCGGTATGAGTTGAAGAGGTGTCCATTTTGTGCGACAGTGAGAGACACAACGACTGCGGTGACCGGTGCTTGTGTGGTCCTGACACCGTGGGTAGTGTGTGTTTTAATGGTGTGTGTTAATGGTATGTGTTCTGATATAGATTTCATCATGTTTGATGAGCTATTGATGTTCTGTGGTCGAATGACCACTATAGTGGGTATTAGGTATCCATTGTTTCGCGCACCAATGCGTTGGCTATCTATAGATGGATGTTTTCATTCGTAATAGTTATTCGTATTTGATAAGACATGTTAATCTTGAGGTATCAAATGAAATTATTACCTGATTTTATTCATAATTGACTTAATCACAATCAAACATTCTTCACTGTCATGGCAGTATGATCAGACCCGTGAAGATCCGGTTTAGGGTTGATCTTCAGTAACCCATGCTTGTCGTAAGAGGCGACTGATGGGATCGGGTGGTCAGGCTCTCTGACATCGTATCCCAAATGCGTAGATCGATGCTCATGCTGTTGATCACTGGATTGTCTGGTTCAGACTCGATTATTTACAGACCGCCGCCATATAGCTGTAATATTGCTGAGTGCGGCGTAAAACTAAACTCACTCACAGTCACTCATGACAGTATTATCAATGTTGTACAATATATATGACGGCGGAAACCTTTCATCTTAAAAATACATCGTGACGAGACAAGTTTTTATTACAAACAACACAGTGAAACACATTTGCTGTGCACCCAATATTTAGTGTTGTCTATAAATTTAGCAGAAATTTAGATTTTGTACAGGAATATGTTACATTCAAATACTGTAACAATGCACATAACCTGGCATGAATGTATTCACAGGAAACACGTCCTCTACCGTGTTATCCTTTCATAAAGTACTACACATCGTTATAATTGCCAGCTTACATAACGGACCTGACAACACTGGGCAGCAATACACCACGCTGACATCATTAACAGACTTTGTTATTTTACTGCGTAGTTTATAAGCTTTCATGATAAAAAATGTAACATGCAAAGCTTTCTTATGACGTTAAAAATGTAACGTAAAATTGTATTTAGGACGATAAAAATGCATGATCTAAAAGATTTCTTGTGATGATAAAAATGTCACATGTAAAGATTTCTTATGGTGATAACAATATTACATGTAAAAGCTTCAAATGATCATTGAAATTATTTTCGGTTTACATTCTATCTTGAATTGTTCTATTGAGTTGTTCTGGTCACGATATGGCTGAGCTATCGCCGACGTGACTTTCAATCTTCACTCACTCACTCACTTACTTTAAATTCTATACACGTAAGATGATTGCAACAAAAGAAAAAATAAATACCAAATAAAGATGTATTCTTCCCATATATATATACCATATTTTCTTATACATGCGTCTTCAGTGGACTCAGGGGGCTAGCACCGGCTAGTCCGGACTAGTACAAACAGCCAAACACACATGCACGCACACATGCTCGTCGCTGTAGGACACTCATTTCACACACACCGCCATGTAGTATACCTTCGTATTTATGTTTTAGAGAACGGGATCTCAGTGGAACCGAATAAATCGCATCTATTTTTGGGTGCTTGAGAACAAAGAAGGTTTCCTGTACCACGGGGAGGAACCAAAGGTGAGTGTTTGAATAAGACGCTGTTCTGTCTGATATCTGTTCAATACCGAATATGTTGAGGCACTTTTATGGCAATATCCTATAACTGAGCGAAAAATAGTTTAAAGAAAAATTATAAAATAGGACATATATTGAAAGACAAAAGTACATGTGACATATAAACTAAAGAGAATATGTAAAAACCCGTTTTATAGTCTTTAATTTCTGGCAAAACTATCATGCAATCCCAGCGACATTTGGTCCATTAATAATTTTGCCAGTGAAATAATCCAGATCGCAGTTACATTTGCGAGTCCATCGACGCATGTGTTGCAACGGTGGTGATTCATTTCCTGACACTCACCCTAAGCTATAACATTACGACACTTGCTGTTCGAATGGACATCAAAAGTATTTATAATGTTGTGGGGTTTCTACATTCGGAACTTTAAAGATGTCAAATTATAACCCGGAGACAATTGATTCCCAGTACCATAAACATAATTGATATAAACCTGAGTGGATTATCATTTAAGTTAATCATTTGCGCCAGTGATTTAAGTTCCTTTGAGCAACGTTTATGCTACAAAAACTGTTTTTGACCAAAAAAAAGAAAAGAAAAAACCCCGAAAAACACACAGAAAACCCCCAAAACAGCAACAGAAAAATAAGAAAATATAATCAAAACGGACAAACGAATAAATCCTCTAATGGAACTCCGTGAAGAGGTGCTGAGAAACGACATGGTGTATAATTTATGAATAACATTATGATAGCTCGGAGTATGTCTAATTTACTTTCGGAATAGACCGACATATTTCGTTTTCGAAGTACAGAAATATGACTAATGTTCTGACCTGGACGAATTTAGATGCCCAACTCCAAATTGGCTGATTATAAATAATGCAATGAAGACAGTTTTGATTCGGGAATGTAAATGTTAATAAAACAGGTGAAAGAGAGGGGTCCGTACGTGTACCGAGAGACGGAGGAGAAAACTGACATCACATTCAACGTCAACGAGGTGTGGATGAAGCTGTGGCGACGAAACGTGTTTGATGCCGATCTCACTGCCTACGAGTGCGGTTTCGACTGCACAGAACAAGAACCGGTAAAGCTGTATAAACTTGATAAATTACCAAGTGTACCAAGTATATAACGGCGTGGAAGTTGTAGCGGGGTGGATGTAGGTTTGCTGCTCAGGGAGACAGTTGTAACCTTTAAGTGGTCCACATTCTTTCAGTGATGGGTCGCGCTTAACTCCGCTTGAACATGAGTCCTTTTTAAGGGTGTGATTGATTTGAAAAGCGAGCCCGAGAGGTGCGTTTTGGAGCCATCTGAAGTAGAGGTGCTATTTGGAGCCATCTGAAGTAGAGGTGCTATTTGGAGCCATCTGAAGTAGAGGTGCTATTTAGAGCCATCTGAAGTAGGGGTGCCATTTTGAGCCAGCTGTAGTAGAAATGATTTGGGGGCCTTTTGTAGTAAAGATGCTATTTGGAGTCATCTGAAGAAGTGATATTTGGAGCCATCTGTATAAGAGATAGTATTTGGAGCCATATATAGTGTTTTTTATTTGGGGCCATCTATAGCAGAGGTGATTTCCTCCCTTTTCGTCAACAAATTCTTGACATGTGTGTGTGTGTTTTTCTGGTGCAGTGTCTAATATGAATATAACTAACATGAATAGTTAATGGAATGATGAAGAGGAAATATATGTGCAATGTTGCTTTTTATGATCTGAGGGATGCCGTACTGAAATGAGGTATATGTTTTGTCACCAGAGTTTCTTAAAATCCTTTTAATGATTGAAAACATTCATAGATTCTATACTTATATTTACAGTTGACGGTTATCAACCAGGATTTTCTTCAAAAGACGACAAGTTTTGGGTCGGAATCGGATTACACTTTTGAAGCGATCCCTGCAACCCTGACAACAGCCATGGTTGACCTTGGCATTGATGTGTCCAAAAACATCACCGACAAACTCCCCGCCTTGGGATGTTTGACTGCTACATGTGATACAGTTTGGTCGACTAAATTACCTTCGACCACACACTTGAACGACTTGTCATTTGGTGTATGGATTCGTAAAAACGACACGTCATATAAATCTGAGATATTGACTGAGAGAGGTCAAAGATCTTTCACCGAAGAAGAGATGGTTGGGATATATAATTTATTAACAACGCCATCTTTGCTCAAGAACGGTAACTCGCCTTATTCGGAGTGTTTATCATGGGCGCGTCATATAGCTTGTGCCTCCAGTGGTTCCGATGCGGTGAACTCAAACGTCAGCTGTGGTATTATATCCTTATTGAAGATTTACAGCTTGGGATCTGTGTCGTGCTTTCAAAATTTCTCTGCTCAAATGCAACATTTTCTATGCAGCCAGCAAAATCCTAGCCATTGCTTTGTCCTTCCCAGCAACATACTACTATCAACTGCCTATATAGAAGCTTTAACAGCGTTCATCTTATCACATATAGCTGCATTTGTTCACGAAGCTGCCATTGTAAGTCTCCAGAACGATCTGGTGACAACCAGAAATCAGTCGGATCTGGCGTTTGGGTACGTCCGGAAAGGTCCAGATGACGTGTCCATTTTTGTGCCAGGTGTGTTTTCGGACCCTTGGTCGAGTCTAGGGTCGGGCCTGGGTCCGAGTCAGGGGTCCAGTGAAGGGTCTAGAAGTGAAGTGAGTTCAGTCTGGACACTGGCCACGTGTCTTCAGGATCGGAACATTGACAATAACATGATGGTTAAAAGTAAGTGCCACGTCATCGTATAAGAGGGTGAGTGGGTGAGTTGTGTTTTATGCCGTTTTTGCAATATTAAAGCAACATCACGCCGGGTGACACCAGAAACGGGACTCACACATTGTAACCACCTTTCGGGAATCGAACCCGGACCGATACTTCAAATAAGTATCTAGTATGAAGTCTGCTATGCTTAAAAAATAATGAAAGCACTTACCTGTGCCAGCCTTATTTCTTGTGTCCAGTGTACCCCTTGGCTGAACAATGTTTGATTGTCGAAAAATGCATGTTAAATTTGGATATTTCAAGCAGGACACATTTAGATTTGGATATAACGATGTTGACAATATGCATGGATAGGGATCGGACCTTTTTAGTGACATTTAGATGTAAAGTGAACGTGTATCGGCGGTGTATTATATACAATAAGCTTCACAAGTCACAGTCGGATGCATAGTATGAGAGTACAGTAAACTACGTTTAGAGCGAACTACGGTTATAACGAATTAACGGATATACCGAACTGTTTTTGTTCCATGCCCCTTGCTGTGTATTTTAGTCGAAATGCGTATAGCAAACTACGGTTATAACGAATTAACGGATGTAACGAACTGTTTTTGTTCCCCGCCCCTTCCTGTATATCTAGTCGAAATGGGTATAACGAACTACTGTTATAACGAACTACAATAGTAGTGTGCGAAATAGTTTCCAAATTGTGCTAGCCAGCTAGCTATGCCTGAAAGCTACTAGCCCACAAAATAATTCACTAGCTCGAAATTTGAATGTAGAAACTAAGCAAAATATTACAAAAAGGTAAAATATCATCATATATCCGGCCATAATCTTGCATGATTTAAAAGTGTAATATAACTTAACAAATCGGAGAGAGGGATATATAAAAAAAAATGAACCCATGAAAATTCACTTGACAGTCGGGCCAGTGACTGTGGAGATTTACTGGCCCGACTGGACTTTTACTAGCCACGGGCTAGCGGGCCAGAGGCTATTTCGCACACTGTACAATAGTGGTCCCTTTGAGTTCGTTATAACCGTAGTTCACTATATTCTGTTATGAATACCTGTTGTGTGTGAATGCGTCTAATTTCAGTTATTGAAAACTAGTTTTTGTATTTTAGAAATCAACGGAAGTCATTTCGCCCCCAAACGTCTTCTTAAAGCAAGTGAAATGAATGTGTATTTGTCCTCACACACGGACTTTGTACCAGCGTGTGGTCTACTTCAAGCATGTGTAGCTTGTCAGCCAACACTGCAGTCTCCCAAAGTCTACATACCAAAAGTCTGGAGGAGAGTGCATTTTAACAGTCAAACCCAGTCCACTCTGTTCAACAATGTTGTTTATACATTCTCCATGGCTAACGGTAAGTGTTATGTCACATATGGTTCATCTTCATAACAAACCTCGCTCACAAAAGGGGTTCGAACATACGAAATTTAACAATATTCTCTGGATAAGGCAAACTTATTGGAGTAATACAAATATGTCCGTTGCATCGATAGTCACTATTTACTTAAACATACAGGAAGCCGCGATGGCTAGGCGGGTTAGACGGCTTTGTGTGCTGGCGATTAGGTGCCTGACTCTGGGGGAGTGGGTTCGAATCCCGGATGAGACTCCACCCAACAAAAGTACTAGAATTTGTACTGAGAAAGTGTTAAATAATATAATTTTCCACCACTCCACGAAGACTTTGTTTAAGTTCTTTGTACCTGACATCTTGAGTTATCTTTGATTTATCCGGAGCAGACCTAATTTACCTGATTGTTGTAGACACATTTACAAGCCATGGATCTTATGACGTCCACGATGGTGTGCAGAACATGACGGGCCTCTATTCCTACCTTGTATGGATGAGCAACCCCCACTTCGTCTACTCGTCCGGGTCTTACCCCACAGGATCTCAGTCCGGAGGGGCCGTCTCAAAGCATATATCATCTGTAAGTATCCTGTTATCTCTGATGCGCTATGATCTTAATGGATCGCACTACTGATGCGAGCTAGTTTGTTTGACGCCGTTTGAACCAAATTTCAGTTATATCCCGTCGTGTGGGCTTGAAGTGGGAAGAGAACTTGAAGTGAAACTGGTGTGAAATCCACAAGTTCAGATGTAATTGTTGAACCAAGAAAAATAATCACGGTGGAACTTAACTCTACCAAGCGAAATACGTTGCTTTAGACGACCTGGTTTGCCAGGTCAGTGAATCCGGCTACGAAACTGTGGTACAAGATGTAGTTACTTTTGAGAGTAAAGTCGGTCACTTTTTGTGCTTTATGACAGTATTGACGTGCGGCTGTGATTTCAATCACATATACAAATATAGTGAATAAGTTGACTTCATTATCAGTACAGAGTGTGCCAGATCCTACCCAATCTGAGTATGTGTTTATAACGATGGATGGTTGAGCAGAGTATCCTGCCACCTTGAAATGACTCGGGTTGAAACAGAGAGTCTTAAACCACGTCTCGTGTAATACCATATTTATGAAACGGGTGAATGGTTTGGTAAACACCAAAGCATTTACCCGTTTCATAAATTATTACTCACCCAACATTAGCAGAATAATATCTTAGAATTCAACTTACAGAACGAGTGCATTGCGCTTTCATTACAGGGGTCACGCGTATGAATACATTTCATTTATGATTGGCAGCATAGTCTGTTTGATTTGAGTTTTAAAAGTTAAACAAGGAGTATAAAAAAGGGACCAAATGACTTCAACCAACATATTTTATATAACGCTATTACACGCAACGGAGCAAAGAACAGTTATTATCGCGACATGTGTAGTGAATGACAGCCGACTTTGTACATGTGACCGAGTGCAAATAGTTCTGGCAGCACGCGATGTTATTACACAATGTGTAATAACATTGTACGTTTATAAAAAAGTGATATCTTCAACGGATGAGTAAGAATTACATACAACCAATATATGTGTAATTTGATATAACTAATACACGAGTTAAATCTATATTACAACTTCCTTCGGCATACGATTTCCTTTTCGTTATTTCTGACAATAATGGGTGTCAAGGGTGAAATCTTTATGAACTTGAAGTGAAACTGGTGTGAAGTGAAACTAAATCTCTTTCCTTTTCCTTCTCTAGATCGACGTCGAGCCTGATACAGGGCGAATTTGGCAGCGGAAATTCCGCTTTCAGTTCAACGTTGGGGTGACAGCCAAAAACATCAACGCCAAACGAAATAAGTCACTGAACGTGACGTACCTTGGTCGACCGATTCCGATCTACTGGACAGAGAGAAGTGCTGTAATATCAGAAGGTGAAACAGGCCATTACAACTATAAGGTAATGGCACAGACATACATGTATCTATCACTGACGAATTTGTGGCGCTGGGATAGCCAAGTGGTTAAAGCGTTCGCTAGTCACGCCGAAGGCCCGGGTTCGATTCCCCACATGGGTACAATGTGTGAAGCCCATTTCTGGTGTCCACCGCTGTGTTATTGCTGGAATATTGCTAAAAGCGGCGTAAAACTAAACTCACTCACAGACGAATTGATGGTGAATCATGAACACATGCTCACGACACAGGCGGAGTGGTGCATTGTACAATTTCAGCGTAAATTTCATATAATTATGAAAATGGTTAATTCAGAACATATCTGAAGATATCTGATCGCCCTTACTAACGCAGGAAAATATTGATCAGCACCTCAAAAGAAAATGTAAGTATTGATGCCGTCTTCTACCTGGTACTGAATTATTCGAGAAACGGGAGACCAAAAGCTTCTTGTGTGGGTCAATAGAATGACGAAACCTGACAAAACCATTTGTACGAATCGTTTCATTCATATATTTCAGTGATAAGGCCTCAGGCCCACGTACATCTTATTTGCAAATATTTACAATTGGTGCTGCATTTCCTAAATTTTAAAGATATGACGATCGTAGACTGACAGCGTCTTTCACAAAATTTGCCAGGTTTATTAACAATAAAACATCGGAGGACTGTAGCATTCTTACAAGATTCTCTCTGTGACTGATAGTGTCCACGTGTAAGTAAGAAAAATATCTAAGACGTATATCATGATAAACAGGACAAACAAAAATAAAATGAATTTCATTTTCAATAGCATTTAAACTACATAGTGGGCAAAAACGGATGTTTTTGTCCATACCCTGCCTCCTTCCTGTATTTTGCATTATATCGAGTTCGCCAATTCTGAACAAGGTAAGCATGCGTGCGTATTCTTTACGTAAACTGTTTAGGTATAGCTCTGGAAAGAGGGGCACTTTGAACTCTGCATAACAATTTAGTTTCGAACAGTTTGACTCCTCAGAATACCATGTTTGTGTATAACAATCTTTAACCCTAAGCTTAAATTCATGTATAAAGCATCCCACATCACCAACACCTTGGCATTGCCAAACTATTCCAAAACCTAGAGAATACAAGAGATGCTTAATATGAGTAACCCAAGTTTCCCTACCAACTGCATCTAAACCTACTAACATACTATAACACTGTTTGGGGTACCTGTTTTGAGACATATTAAGAAGTTTGAACCAGTATCTTATACATCTGACATATGTATCTACGTAAATACCATAACGACCACATTCGCCCAATACAGCAACATTGCTAGATTTGGAGCCAACACCCAAAACAAATTTACAAAATTTAGCTTGAAAGCGTTCAAGAAACAACCACTGGTGGACACCCCAAATCTCTGAACCATACAGAATTATTGGTTTGATTTGTGAATCAAACATTTTAAACAGAACCTTTGGAGAAATATTACGAAGTTTATAACTATGTTGATGAATGGAAACCACAGCTTTAGTAGCTTTCTGGACTAATGTTTGTACAGCTTTGGACCAACACAATCTATTTGAAAAAATGATACCGAGATAACAACAGTAGGTTGATACTTGATTGGGACATCGCCCAGTTTCCATTTTTCATATTTCCTTAATTTGCCACCATTTCGAAAAACCAATATTTCAGTCTTATCTAAATTGACTCTTAAGCCCCAGTTGTTACATAACGTGTGTAAAACGTCTATTTTCTTTTGTAACTCGAGAACAGAGTCTGCAAAAATACATAAATCATCAGCATAGAGAAGTATAAAGAACTCTAATAAATCTTCATGAACAAAAATCCCCCTGCCACCGAAATTGCTGAATGTCATTTTCCAGCTGGTTTATGAACAATGAAAATAAGAGAGGACTTAAAATGCATCCTTGTCTAACACCACTGAAACAATTGAAATAATCCGTGATATTGCTCCTTGAAATTTTAACAGAGGCCAAAGTTTTTGAATACATGTCCTTAATGATAGTAAAATCTTTACCATGAATATCATTTGAATAAAGGACATACCACAAAAAATCCCTGTTGACGGAATCAAAAGCCTTTTGAAAATCGACAAATAGACAATAAAACCTTCCTTTTGATTTAGATAAGTACTTCTGTACTAGAGAGTGGAGAGTAAACATATTATCAACCGTAGAACACCCCTTCCGGAAGCCAGCTTGACACTATTTATCATACAAATCTACAAAGGATTTTAATCTGTTATTCAAAACTTGTGTAAAAACCTTTCCAGAAATGTCCATGAGTGAAATACCACGAAAGTTGTTGACATAATTACATTACAGTAATGTTCAGCACAGCCTTAAAATATTCAATCCATTGTGCAACACTAGTAGTTGAAAATGTTACTGGAGGCTTTCTGACATGAGACTTCAGTTCTGCCCAGAAAGCTTTTGCATTTTTATTATCATTACATGAATCTAAAATTTTAACTACCGCCGCTTCTTGAAATGCTTCCCGTTTGCGGCGACATAACTCCCTAAAACTGTTACGAGCCTTATGAAAACTTGTTAAACTGGCAAATTCGCCCTTAATTCTAAAACTATCCAACAATTCATACTTTCTGCGCTGAAAACGCTCACAATCCTCATCAAACCATGGTGAGGAAACCAAGTTGTTTGAGGTACTACTACAGCATGAGACCATACCACTGTCTCTAGCTGAATCCTGTATGACTGTAGTCCAAAGTGTCAACTGCGCGTGTAGAACCTACGTCTATTACATGTTCAGCAAGAGACAATTGATCTAGTTTCTGTTTCAAGCACTCGCTGAAATCATTAGATTTCTGAGGGCGCCAAAAGTATTTCCTTATGGTAGTACCACATGCATACTGCACTACAGGTTCTGCCAACGTTAAATTACATTTTAAACTACAGGTAATTGGACAATGGTCAGACTCTAGACGTGTTTGAAGTAAAATCCGATAATGAGTGAAACAGTTCAGTGGATCCAATAAAGTAATCCACAGTACTGGCCTCATTATTAGCAAAACAGGTAAACGATCCGTGGGGATCACTGGGAAAACGTCCATTTACCACGTGAATTCCATATGTACAACAAAGACTTATGAGCTGCTTCCCAAAATCATTTACATAAGTGTCTCTCGATACTCGTGTTTTCATAAAATCGTCACTTTCATACTTCATATCTTGTAAACCAGGAACATAGTCAGTGTCATCATCATACAAGATGTAATCGGACAAAAAACCCAGTACGAGCATTAAAGTTTCCCGCAAACAAAATTGTAGCATCTGGAAAGTCCTACAGTAGTTCTAATAGGCAGTGTTCCAAATAATCAATACCTTTGAGTGCACGGGTGTCAGTTGCAGTAGAGCTACCATCTAGGTGAATGTACACAAATCCTAGAAGATTATCATTCCGAGTTTGAAATAAACACGAATCCTACTATATCATATCACTGGGTAATAAACCACTATAAAATATTCATGGTACCAGGTGATATCGAAGGGTTAAAGTATCCTGCCCCCAGGGCACAAAGAAATGTTAAACATGAAACTAGTCAGGTTTCAGTGATCTCTGAGTCCTGGTTCAAATGGGTAAAGAAGTGGTAAGGAACTGGCTATTTCACCATTATCAAACAACAGATCGTCGATAAGCTTTCTCTTAATCGTCTTGGTCAAATTCCAGGGTTTTTGTGATATTGTCCGAGCAGATATTGTGAAACAGACCACCAAGGAAGGAAGCCCAAATGGATAAAGAAAGCTATTTTAGTCCATTGAAATCTCCTCGTGTTCTTTGTTAACTCTTTTCTCCATTGGGTGTCAAACAATCTAAGAAATGTCTTCAAACATAGGCTAATTGCAAAATGCTACACCAGTCATCATGAACGGCACCCCTTTTACACAATCGCCTGCTAGTTGTAACTATGAACCTGTACATGGACATCCCGTCCACGTCACGTTTGTTTATACTACACCGCCCCCCTGGTGTAGTGATTAGAGCGTCCGCCCGGAGAGCGGAAGTTTGCGGGTTCGATCGCCGGCCGCGTCATACCAAAATATGGTACTTGTCGTTCCCTGCCTCGCGCTCGGCATTAAGTGTCTGAGAGGGGTATTCATGCTTAACTGCGGCATGGTATCTCAGTGAGTAAACACTATAAAACCAGCTTAAGTCTGGGCTAGTACAAGCAGGCACATATATACACGTATGCACGTGGTCATATGAGCCAAATATTCCTAAGTATCACGTAAAAACCCATTTCACCCAACCTTTTGAGAGAGTATGCAGCGACAAATGACATGTCTTGTTTAGCTTTTCTCCATGCTGCTATTATAAATAATTTCATATTATTCAATCCGTTTGGAGCGTGACTGATTTAAGGCGTAATAGAGTGTACTTCGCGTTCAAGATTAGCGACTTGCGTGGCTGTATGGCTGTTTGTACTGGAATACTTTGACGGTTTTACAGCACTAGAGCACTGAGTTACCAGGTTTAACATCACATGTACCATCTGTCAGCGCCTTCCTTTACGAGGTATCAACATGGATTCGCCTCAAAACTGTGTTCGATATGCATGAATATGGATTCCAAACTGTGGATGGCACCATTGTTGCAACAACCACAGATAAACCTGCTGCCCCTGACGATCTTCTCATGGACATTAGTTGTGCTTTCTCAACTTCAAGACTATGTTCCAACTGCAGTTATTCAAAGAAAAGCATTCCCTGTAGCGTTCATTGCAAGTGTAAGGGTTGCTGCTTAAACCCATCACCACTGCCTTGTGATGAGGTTATTGATGAAGATTAATGGGGACTGCCTTGGATACTTGTATAGTTTTTGCGTTGCGATTTTGTTATTTCATCTCTGGATATCTTCAACTGCTGGTATGCATGTTCTGATGACTGAAGAAGTCCTGAGTGCTATGAAAAAGAGGTTAGTTATAAAGTGGAATGACACTGTCCAAAAATATTCCGTGTATTAAGAGATTGCCAAACTCATTCAAACGCTG